CCCTAGAGTGGCATCCCTATAGGCATCCTTATAGGCATCTGTGGCCCGCAGTGGAGAGCGCCCCTGGCCTGCTGGGCCGCGACGTGGACATCGTGGTGGCGGGGCTGCAGGCCGTCCTCGAGGGCGAGCACATGCACAGCGTGGACCCGACGCTGCCGCCGCTCTCGTGGCGCGGCCACTTGTTCGCGGAGAACCGGCCTCTCCGCGTCGGTTGGTACGACCATGACGAGGTATTCCCCGTGACGCCTGGGTGCCGCCGTGCCGTCACGGAGGCACGGGATGCGATGGTGGCTGCGGGGCACACGCTCGTGCCCTTCACTCCAACGGGCGTCAGGAGGGCATGGCGGCTGCTCACTGCCTGCTTCACGGCGGATCAAGGACAGACCTCCGTCAGGCTACTGGAAAACGAGCAGCTGGACCAGGCGGTGGAGACCAACAGGCAGCTGATGTCGGCGCCAAGGTTCGTGAGGGCCGTCGTAAGGCAGGTCGTCTCGAGGAAGTCCCCGCTCATGGCCGACCTGCTGCGAAGTGAGTGGCTCTCTCTGGGATGAGGCGTGCATGCAGTGGAACGCAGTGGAATATACCTACGTGGTTCTAATCCACGGAATGCGTGTAAAGCACAGCGATTGTTACCATGCAAGTTTTCAAACAGTTTTCCCCTCTTTCCTCGCTCACGCTTTCCAGGCGACACGTCCTCCTCGTACCAGCTCTGGCGCGTTCTGGGAGAGAGGAAGGACTACATCGACGACCTCCTGGAGGCGTGGAAGGCCAACCAGCTGGACGTCCTGCTATGCCCCGCCTTCCCCATGCCGGCGCCCAAGCCCTCCTACCCCACCAGGATCATGGGTGAGCTCTCGAACGGCTTTTTTCCGGGAAGGATCCTTGGCAAGGAGCGTTCTGTGTTCGTTTGTCTAAATCAGTTTTCTCTTCCCAGCCGCTTGGTATACATATGTAAAGACACATATACATTCTAATTTACATGCAAGCATACTTACACACACTAGTAAGCATGTACATACACATATATATATACATACATACATGCATACATACATTATGGTAAATATATACATACATACATGTGCACACATAAATACATATATACATGTGCACACATAAATACATACATACAAGTATAGGGGCCTACTTACATAATTGCATACACACACACACGTATGTGTATATATGTGTATATATGTGTATATATATGTATGTATGTGTGTGTGTGTGTGTGTGTGTGTGTGTGTGTGTGTGTGTGTGTGTGTGTGTGTGTGTGTGTGTGTGTGTGTGTGTGTGTGTGTGTGTGTGTGTGTGTGTGTGTGTGTGTGTGTGTGTGTATATATATATATATATATATATATATATATATATATATATATATATATATATACATGCATATATGTGTGTGTGTGTGTGGGTGTGGGTGTGGGTGTAAATATATATATATATATATATATATATATATATATATATATATATATATATATATATATATATATATATATACATATACATATATATGTATGTATGTATGTATGTATGCATATAGATAGATAGATGAATATATATATTCATCTATCTACCTATCTGTCTATCTATCTATCTCATATTCATATATATACAATGTCATACATACATACACACACACGCACGCACACACACACACACACACACACACACACACACACACACACACACACACACACACACACACACACACACACACACACACACACACACACACATATATATATGATATATATACATATATATATATATATATATATATATATATATATATATATGTATATATATATATATATATATATATATATATATATATATATATATATATATATGATATATATGTGATATATATGATATATATACATTAGTTAACCATTACTTAACCCCCCCCCCCCATGTGCTCTCACCGCCGCCTCGCCCACAGCCGCGGCGGTGACGACGGCCCTGTACAACTACCTCGACTTCCCCGCCGGCGTCGTGCCCGTCACCCACGAGACGGAGGACGACCAGGCCAAGCTGGCGGAGTACCCGACGGACGACCTCATGTTCGAGTTGGTGAAAGAGGTATGGATTCGCTTTTCTTGGAACGTAATGATAACTTCCTTACGGCTTTCCTGTAAGCGTGACATAACAGGGTTAGCCTCGGCTTTTTCAATTCCAGCGAAGACATTATTTTTTTGTGTTTTGTTTTCTGGATATTCATACATTTCCGCTTTTCCCCCAGGCCACGGCAGAGGCAGTAGGCCTACCCATCGGCGTGCAAATGGTCGGCCTACCTTGGCAGGAGGAGGTGCTGTGCCGCGCCATGAAGGCTCTCCAGGATGCCCTCGCCAGCGCCAAGGAGGCAAAGTAAAGGACTGCTATCCTCAGGGCTTACTGTATCATGGTGTTTTTATTCAGTTTTCACGTCCAATCGTTTGTACCATTGAGTTGGTCTGGGGTTGAGGTGAGTGTTCTAGTATAGTGACATTTTCATGACACCATAGATTACTGAAATTTGATAAGGTCATGTTACCGTAGATCACGTAAGTTTTACTTTGCTAAGCTTATCCATTTATTCGCATTTCTCACGACATCAGAATATCTCCTCTTTAACTAATAAAAAAAAGTAAACTCCGTTAAATACATGTGGTATGTGTCGGGGCCGCTATTTAACGAAGCCAGTAATGGTTTCAGTGCAACACATTGGTTCCGGCATTGCAGCAGCATACCCAGTCCATTCTCACTCTTTCGGTACTATAAAAGGAGCCTATTGGTTCCATCGCCTCTCGGTCGCGGGGTTTTAAGTCTTACCTCCGTGTTGCAACCACGTGAGCTCCGTGTTGTTACAGTAGCCTACCTACTGTGCGGTAGTGAAATGTTCAGTGTGCCTTCGTGCTCAGTGTCTTACCTTAATTCACAAGTGGCTCTCTTTTTGTGGTGTCTCGTGGCGCTAGATTTGTTTGAAGTTGGGATACACAGGTGCTCACGGATGAACTGGATTATATATGTATATTAGTAATTACTTGTTACAATGTCTTAAGCAGTCGTGGGTATAACCTCAGCAGTAATATCATGATAAATACAATAATGGAACAGGCGATGATGACTTTATGTTAGTGAACTCCGTGCATTCAGTGTTGTGTGTAAATTTCGTTATATATATTCCAAGAAACTGGTTGTATCAAGTTCTATGTTTGTAAATGCACATGAGGGTGGTGTTTGGGAGGGTTCTGCTTCACGATGAAATCTGGATTTCATAAAAAATGAACAGTGCATTTTTGGCCAATGAATGCTTCAAGGGAAGTTGAATTGCTGACTTCTGAAAGAGGGAAACTTTTGAAGGAAAGACTGTAAATTTCATGGAAGAACTCAAGCTAAAAATTCACCCGATTTATTTAATATTTTATTATAATTGTCTACATATTGCTCAACTTATGTGATAATGCCGCATATTTGAAAGTTACAGAAGGGAAAATATATATTATTACCGCATATATATTTTTGAATACTTTCATAATCATTTGAAGTGTAACCGACCTCTAAGGATAGCCTCCCTCATAGTAGTCTTTGAAAGTAGTATTCTCGTATTTTTGTTTTCTACAAACAGGATGAACTACTTTTAAAAGTTTTTCTATGATAACTATATTCACTTCAGTGACAGCCTACAGTGCACGGTAAAACTTTTGTAAGTATATGGAGTGAACACTTAAAATATGCATATTCATTTAAAGAAAATCTGCCGAATCATTCCACAATGTAGCAGTCGGTGTATTGTGGATTAAGAAAATCTTTGTACTATTTTTCGTATTAGCAAATATTTACTACTGTGACCTTTGTACGTATATGAAAAAATATGATAAATAAACGAATATGTAATTCAGAAGTTTTGTGACAACCTTCAAAATACATTAATGTTAAGCTGTGTCGGAAATTCTGTGCAAAAAATTAATGAACTGTATAATGAAATCTTGTTCCACAGAAGATAACATAGAGATTCCTTTTGCACTGCTAGTACGTGAACAATGAGAAGGCCAAACTGATGGGGGGGGGGGGGGGGCAACACACTAGTATATTACCTTCATAAAAAGACGCGGGCTTCGTTCGGTATTCTTCTTGTCAGAACAGAAACAAGTGAAACGAATTCTTCTAAGGAAACTTGCGGCCTAACGCTTAGAAAATTTAGACATAAAAATATCTTAAGGACAGAGTTTTCGGAGGAACAGATACGCTTCTCTCCATAGACGGCAGGCATCAGGACAGGATTAACATATGATCGTAGTGCATTTATCAATGGAAGTTGAAATGTTAAAGTTGGGATAGGCAGATTCTTACGGATCAACTGAACAATATATGTATATTAGTAATTACATGTTAGAATGTCGTAAGCAGTCGTGGGTATAAGCCCAGCAGTAATAGCATCCACAGCAATGATAAATACAATAATGGAACACGCGATGATGATTTTATGTTATCTGCGTTTACCAACGGTCAGTTAATATCGTGTTAGCGATGGTAAAGTGGGATTCATGGAAATGGTAACTCACTGCGCAAGAGTTTCAATTGTAAATCAGTTCGTTCTAATGGTAGCCAACGCATGCTCTAGTCAAACAATGCCGCCAATCAACAAGGGCCTTGCTTATTTCTTTTGGTTCATTCGGTCAATCACGTAATATACAGACAAAACTCTGGATTCACTCCTGGTAAGTCCACAATGGACCGTATCCTGGCGCTCCGAGTCAATGTAGAGCGCCGTCATGAGTTCGGGCGTCGGCTGCTAGCAGTTTACATCGACCTGTAGAAGGCGTTTGATACCGTGCATCGCGAATCATTGTGGGAGATCCTGAGATTAAGAGGAATTCCAACAAGGATTACAGGATTAATAGCAAGCCCGCATACCGGCACTGAAAGTGCTGTAAACTGCCTCCTGCTTCGTTTCTCGCTGGATGATCTTGGCCACCATGCTGTCTCTGTTCGAGACAACCCTGGGAGGA